CATTTCCATTTAAAATGTGAAAACATATTGATGCCACCATTTTCTTACGTTTTTTGGGAAGGAGGACACATGCTTCATACTGAGAATTCACTCTTTGCTTACTCATTTTTAACAGAGTTGCCCAGTTCCAGCTGCTGATGAAGTTAAAACAAACAAAAACTATATAATTTTCTTCCTAGTAGGTAAACTGACCTATAGACACAGGAATGATGGTAGTTTAGAGACCCGGGTGTCCATTACAGTGGGGTAACAGATACCAAAGTGAAGTCATCAGTGAGAAATTTCATTAGCTCTGAAAAATGAAATACAATTTGCATGACTTGCTAGCCAGACTATTTAATTAGCACCTTAACTTGTGCTGAGCTGCTTTTCCCCAGAGGTAACTCCAGGAGACACAGAGTCCTTTACTGGCAATCCCCTGTGGCCAGGAGTATGTACATTAGATCATATCTGAGGATGATGCAGCTGATTCTACCATGTGGCCCTGGCCGGCTAGGCTAACAATGTGAAGGCAACAGGACTGTGCCCTCAGCATTTTTGTAACCTTTCTATGGCTCATGTCTAAAGTGTGTTATCTACTATCAGGGTGCAAATTAAGGGGGAGCTCAGGGATGGGGGGGAGGGGGGAGAGGGGCTGAGCCCTCCATAAGAGACGAGAGCCCCCCTGTAAGATTTGAAAATCATAACCTGGGGGATCTCTGATTGGATTGCCCCTTCACTTAGGTGGACTTGCTAATCAATGAACTGGTTTAATTTTTTTTGCAGACTTCCCCAAAAGTCAAGTGTGATTTGAATACTGCCTCCTATCCCACTACCAAAACCTCTTACCTGTGGCAATAGGAACTCTTCTGTATAAGTCAGACAATTTTATACCAGCTGAGGGTTGATTCCCTTACTCTGGAGAAATGTCTGGCTGCCCATTTAAAGCAGCTATAAAGGTCCCAATACCTATTTAAAATTGCACAGGTTTGGTCTTCTGGAAAATTTCCTTTTCTCATATCCCCAAATTAGTTATAGCAGCATTCATATACTCTATAATTTATGCCAGGAACTCATCTGGTACTAGCAGAGGTCACAGGATGCAGCCTTAAGCTACCCCTCTGCAGTCCCTCTTGAATTGCTCTGAGTATTCATATCTAGACTTTTGGGTTGATTGCTTCCTTTGGACTGGAAGCATTTCCCAAAGATTTTCTGCAGTTGTATGTAGACTCCCTCACAAAAGGAAATTCTGCCTGTTGTAATATCTACAACTGTATCTACCTTCTTGGAAAGGTCCCACAAGGCTCTAGGAAATCCAAAGGTCCTGCTACCTAGAAGATATCTTGATGCTTTGGTGCAACCCAACTGCTTGTTCCTTCCAGTGCTAGCTAGTTTATACTAATTAATATTTTCAAAGAAAAGGTCTACACCAGCTGTTCCCAACTTTTTTTTGGTTGTCGTCTTACTTAGACACCAATAATTTCATGAAGCCCATGAAGTGGTAACTGTTCAGGTGCCTGCAATTAAAAGGTACAGTTGGGGATTTACCATGCCTCAGCTGCTCTGGGGTTACTATTCCCATTCTAACCCTGCAGTAAAAACTTAACTCTGAATTAATTTATCCATGAATGTAATGGGGATAATTTGCCCAGTTTACCTTTCATTTACCTCAGGGTAAATAGTGGCACAGGGCCAGTTACCAATAAGCAGCTGGAGCATGGTAAGAAGGTTAATTGTGGGTACATGGTATAATTGCCCCATTTAGGAGACTTTGGGGATCTGTAGGGGTCATGACTCCACTCATAAATTCTGTGACCCTTGGTTTGGGAACTGCTGGATTAGACTATTATATTTCTTAAATGAAAACTGAGAATTTCCATATAGGGCCTAAATATCCAGTTAACAAGGAGCTGTCATTAACATGGTCTTGGATATCAGTTGAAACCTGGTTACATTACTTTAGCTTGCCCCTCCACATAAGCAAGGTTTAAAAGCAATGGCAGTGTCTACACACAAAGCTGCACTTAGTTAGTTAGTTAAATCAGATTATTCTCATGGCTCAAATAAGATTAGCGATAGGCATTTGTATACATGCTTGTGTCACAGTGCCGGGCGCTTTTAAAAGCTCTCGGCGCTGCAGCACATGCAGTTGTATAAGCGGCAAAAAGCTTGTCAGCACTGAGAAAATGGCAGCAGCACAAATTTTAAATAAAACACAGTGGAGGTGTTTTAGTTCAAAAGTGCACTGCCACCATTTTCTGTGCACTGATGCACATTTTGCCACTTATACAACTGCATGCAAAGCAGCGATTGAGTCTGCTCCGACCTGCTGGATCTCCAGTGTGTTGCAGGACGAAAAGGTATGTGTTAGGCCTGTGCGAAATGGCTAGTATTTGCTTCGCATTCGGCCAATTTGGGGGGATAGTGATTCAATTCGATGATTCAAATCACTGTTCCGATTCGATTTGGCTGAATCCCCTGCCTGCTCTCCAAGCCTGGCAATGGCTGCCCTGCCTACCCCAGCTCCCGGCTCTTGTAAAAAAAAAAAAAGTCCTGGTGCTCACTGGATGCTGCCAGGCAGGGGGCGATCCTTGCTGCTCTCCACTGTGCCATGCTGCATGGAGGGCTCTGCATGAGCCCCCTGATCCACCCCTGGCTGCCCCATCCCCCCCCATGGGTGCCCCACATGGGCCAGCTCTGGCCCTTTAAGAAAAAGACCCCCTGAAAAAGGCCTGGTGCTCACCGCTCCTGCTGGTGAGGAGTGATCCCCACTGCCCCCCGCTGCCCCGTGTCATGTGGAGAGCTCTGCACGAGCCCCTGAAGCCCCGAGGGCACTGCAGGAGCAGAGAGTCCTGGGGCTTTTCTTGGGGTTTTTTTTATTTTTAAGTGCTGGAGCTGGCCTGGGTGGGGCATCCGTGGGGGGGCTGGGGGAGAAGGAGGGGTTGGGGGGCTTGTGCAGAGCCCGCCATGGGGGTGCTGGGGGAGTGGGCAGGGGGGGCTGGGGAGTGGGTGGGCTCCAGGGGGTTGGCAGGGGTCCCCCAATGGTCCTCTCCCCCCTCTTCCAGCACCCCCTCCCCTGCCCCTAGTACTTGGCTGCAGCCACTGGGGACTACCCGAATCATCAAAGCTCTCTGAATCTTTTCCAAAGATTCGGAGAGCTTTGAATCGATTTGGACCTTTAAATTGGTCCCCTGATTCGATTCGGATTTGGAGACTCAGCCAGCGAATCGGGCCGAATCTCCTTCGAATTGAATCACCACCCAAAGCTTCGCACAGCCCTAGTATGTGTACAAATGCCCATAGTCTACCCAGTGAAACTAAGTTACAACTATGCATACAGGAAGATGGATTTCCTAACTTGAAAATGTTTTTAACTGCAACATTATGATGTGTGATATGGAAAAAGTAACACTTAATATTTTTGGGGCAGTAATATTTAAGGGGCAAATCATTAAGCAAGTTAGGATTTCCTCTGTTAGACGGAATTTTTTTGCCTCTTGTCTATAAAAAGAATGATCTGATCCTGCTAGAGCAACCTGGTTACAACCTTGCTCCTTGCTCTTAAATTTAAAATGTCATCTTTTGGCTACCTCATTTATTCTGAGACTCATTCAATTTCAGCCTGCAAATGAAAATACATTTTCTTAAACTTGCTGATCTTGCAGTCTGGGAGGACACCTTAAATTTGATACAATCTGTTTCACTTACCTTGACTGTCTGGACTGGCATCCAACTATATCCACAAAGGATGATTATAAAAAAGAGCCTCAAATTGGATTAAACGCTTGCAGTTAAATATATAATCAACTTCCAAATGTGAATATATAACAAGAAGGTACTATGGAAAATTGTATTTTCTTTGTAGAATGTAAATTGCAACTGCTATTAAAAAGCAGTGGCAAATATGTGTATGTATGTGTAGGTAAAGAGACATGCGCAGAAGCTTCCTATGTACCCAAGGCATTTAATTTTATTTTTAGATGTATTTTAGTCACTCTGTACTCTAAAAATAACAAAAATATTACTTCAAAAAGTATGTGGCTAACTTGAGCCTTGATAAGTTCCTTCTAGTTTATCAGTGCTATGCAGATACTTTGATAGTACAACATATTTGGTCTTTATTCTTTTCTCAATTTTATAGTTATGTCCTTTTTTTCCTTTCTTTCCTGTAACCAGAGTTTTATTTGTAAGACCTTGTGTGTTATATTACTGTAAAACAGGAAAATCCAAAGAGATTTTAAAGTTCTGGCACCATGACCTAGTGATTAGAGCAGGGAGCTATAGTCATAGGTGGATCTACAATTTTGAAAAGTGGGGTGCAGATGGTGAGGTGTATCATCACACATAAAACAGCCCATATTTTTCTCCAGTTAAAAATATACTAGTAGCTTTACTAATATGCTGTGGGGCCAAGGGCTGTATTGTTCAGTTTTAAGACTGCAGGAAAAATAAATATAACTTGATTGGAATAAGTCAAAAACAGTCTGCAGGGCTGTGAAATAGGAGCTTTGCTGAGCAGCTAACAGACAGTGGAATTGCAGAACAAAAGATAGCTTGATTCAGGGAACCTCAAGGCCATTAGAAAGAGGAACAGGTTGGTAACACCTGTGGAATGAAGAGGTCTAGAAGGGATCAGAGAGATTGTAATGAGACATGAAGTCAAGTGACTCCCTCAGCACTGCCTGACTAGAAATGCTGCTGCCATTGCCATGGTTTTAAATTTTGGGTGGACCAGGAATCAAAGGGGGGGGTGCAAGTGCACAAGTGCACTCCCCCCATGGATCCACTCTGCCTATAGTTCAAGAGACTGAGGTTTTAATCCTGACTCTGCCACTAACTCACTGCATAATCTTGGGCAAGTCACTTAATTAATCAGGGCCTCAGTTTCCCTAGCCACAAGTGATTTGTAGAAGGTTTGGGATCCTTGAATGTAAAGCCCTCCCTAAGGGCATGACAGGGCATCATGTTCGGATGCTGCAAAGAAACTATGTAAATCACTGTTTTTAAAAATCCCCCATTACCTTTCTAGCCTCTGCATGGTCATGGCCAGTGTCTTGTTCAATTCCTCTATCATCCGGCATCCGGAAGGGTGAATGGGTAATGAGCTGGATCCAGAAGGCAGATGCTGGCTGTGGCTGCCATACTGAAGCTGGTGCTGGTGGGCTGCTAACTGGGATGGCAGTACAGTGTGATGGTGCTGAGCCAAGGGCTGCTGGGAGCTCTTCTGTGTGGAATAAGATGCGAGAGAGAGGTCTGGCCCCCCTAAAGGCATGCATATCATGACTTTCTTTGGAGGTAGCGGAGGCGACAGTTTAACTGGCATACAAGGCAGTTTCACAGGCGCGCCAGGATCTAGAACATAAGGATAAGAGAGGCACAGCAGTAAATTTCTGTGGCATTAGAAAGAAGACCACATTATCTCTTTGGTAGTCAGGTTACCAGTAATGACAATAGACAAGTTTCATTGGATGTATCCCTTTCCTGTCACTGACAGAAGATATTTTATCACATAATACAACTGTTTTCAGAAGGAATGTTCTCACTTTGCCACATTTCTGAGCCCCCTAAAAACAGTTCAGTGCGGCGCTTGCCCTCGATTGATACGTTACGTTGCACTTAATTTAATAACAAGATTTATGTGCTGCCGTTCATTTTCAAAACACTTTCTACCAAAATCTGGTCCCAAAAAAGCCCTGCAAGCTGAGCATTTCCCATGTAACAGATGCATAAAACTAAAGCAGAGTGATTGGGTGCACAGACTCACAACATGAATCACTGCCATCACAGCTTGGATTAAAACTACCTGATTCCTACTCCTCCTACCTGACGACTGCAGACAGAACCTTTCGAATTTTTGCAGAGCATTTGGTTAAGGAAAAATTTCAGCAAAAGAAAAATAGCATAAATGATAAAGGGAGATAATCTAGGAAAGCAGCAGAAACGATTGATTCGTTCATAGAACATCTGGCAAACATATCTGTTTTTTTAGGATTCCTGAAAACTCATGCTATTTTCAGGAATCTTTCAGGGAAAGATTTCTGCTGAGTTCTGGGGGGACTGAATAATATTTTAGAGGTGCATATAATAGAGATGTTTATAAGCAAACAAAATTTCAATGCAATGGCTGTTTGCACTCAGCTGTAAGAAGGAGACTTGTTGGGCTGTTTTATGAAATAGTTTTAAAAGGTAGCAGAGAGACAGGGGTGTCAAAACAGGAAGGTCAAGGAGAATTAGTCACCAAAGGTTATGAGGACAGAGGAAGACAGAGTATACACTAAGTACTGAGGTCATGCCATAGGGCTATTTGTGGTTGTAGGAAAGGATAGAGGTGAAAACTTCTTTAGTAGAAGACAAGCCCGAATAAATCGCAGACATTCAAGTCCTGCAAAGGAGTTCTGATAGCATGACATTTGTGCAGTTTGGCCTGTATTCCTGAAATTCCTGCACCTTGCTACAACTCGGGAAAGAGATTAAAGTGCCAGCCACTTGCTTTGACTTGACAAAGCTCAGCAGGCAAGATGATGCAGCCCAGGTTTCAAAGGCCATTGCACGTTCATGAACTGCAGCATGTTTTTTAAAAGCCCTTTTCCAAATAACACATGTTATTACTAGCTATTCACAGGAGCTCTTTGCTTTCTGTATCTATAACTGCTTGGCTGGATATTTTATTTGTCTGAACCACTGTGTACTGACTAGAGAGAGGACAGGGGGATTGATGCTGGGGCCCTTCTCCTGTAATAGCAAACTGAACAGAGGCACTCAGCTGGAAGAGGATAGTGAACAGAGACAAAATTCAGGGTTTTTTTTCACCATTACTGCTTACATTTGACTAGCACCTCCAGGTCTCATTGTGTTGGGCTCTGTGCACACACAGCAGAGACAGTGCCCTCCCCAAAACACTTTTAATTCCATATTTTCTCATGTACAACACACCCAAAAATAAGACACGTGCCTTGATTTTGGAAAGTAGAATGTAGGTGAAAAAAAGATTTTTCCAGAGTCATGGCTGACTATGTAACACAACCTAAGTCCTCCTGGGAGCACAGAGTATCCAGGAAGCTCATCTGCCCCACGCAGATTGTCTCCTGGGATGCCACACTTCCTAGGCAGATGTCTCCAGGAGGACTGTATGTCACACAAAGTTAGGTCCCAGTTCCTTGCAAGGGCAGTAGCAAGACTGTTAGTTCTTTACTTTAAGTAGTAGTCGATATAAGTTCCTGTAAATAAAGTGTTGTTTCCACATCACAAGCCTCATCAAGAAACTACCAGAGGTTCACTTGCTGTTTCAGGCACAATCTACAGTGCTCAGCCAATAGCTATGGCTGTAAGAAGGTTAAAATAGGACTCTGCCATCTTGGTAGCTATGTGGGATGCTTAGTGGCTCCAGGCCTAGTCTTTTCCAGTGAAGAAAACAGCTAGCTTCCCTGCTTCACATATGCACCCAAATTTTGGGGGACAGATTTTGGGAGAAAAGGTGCATGCTGTACGTGAGAAAAAATAGTAAATGAATAAATTAGATATGGGTGTGAAATGAAAGTGTCACAGAGAAGGGAATGTCACAAATAAGGTTAGTGGCAGAGCCAGGAACAGAACCAAAGTCTTTTGACTTGCAAGCTAGTATTGTATCTACCAGACCACACTGCCTTCTCTCAAGACAACAGTTTCATTCACTTGTAGTCAGTGGTGAATGGGGCCCTGGGAATCGCCAGCAAATGCCTCTTCCGGCATGGATTGACTGTCTTCAAAATGCAGGCTATCTTCTACACATTGCAAAAACAAATTTTCATTTTTTCTACTCAAATACAAAAGAGGCTGAGCTGCAACATTTTGATACACACACAACATGCACTCTAGCTGCGTGCATTTTATATTTGTACTCTGCACAAAAGAACACTTTGTCTTCAACATATTGTCACAGGAATGACAAAGTGTTAATTGAATAAAAGCCAGAGAATTAGGGTCCTGTGAGATCTGTAGTAGCAAAACATTCTAAATATATTAGTGCTTCAGGCTAATGGAAATGGGCCTGGGCTGCAAAGCCTCAACTCAGCTCCACATCCACGCTTCCCTTAATTTCTGGAATATTTAGATTTGAGGTGTCCAGTTTGGCTTCATCTCTGGTATGGTTCAATGCAGAGGTGGAATTCTGCAATGGAGTGTTACCACAATCCTGGACCATGCTGTGATCATGATGCCAGGGAATTATCCTCACTGTGAGGTTCAAAGTGATCCCATCCCACAGGAACTGCACATTCCATCTTCTCACTCAATTAAAATTGGAAGCACCAGCTGAGTTTGTTACCTCCTATTCTTAAGTATTAAAGAGCTGGTTGTAAATTGGGAGGAATCTGTCAAAGCATTTTGGGCACAGAATAAATAGAAATACTTCCATCTTTTCTTTAAATTAAAAAGGAAAGGTTTGTTTCCTTTCTGAATGTAAATGGTCCGCTTTTAGATTTGCAGACAAACACTGTAGTTATGGGGAAGTCCATGGGAACTACAAAGGGAAACACAAAAATGTAAATGGAGTGCATAAAACATACATTAAACTAATAACATTTGGTTTAATTGTTGAAACCTTGTTCATCACATAGGTAAGATGTTTGTTTTTTGTTTAACTATATGGGGCTAAAGGCTGGGTAGAGTTGTACCTTAAATATTAACTAAATTAGAGATGCATAAGCTTTCATAAGCAACAGCTTACTTTGTTAGATGCTATAGGGATAATATATGTCAGCATATACTCATGGAAAATGGTAATAGAGACACTCCAATTTAAAGAGAAAAATGTACTACCTGAGGCAAAAAAATTCTTCCTTTACCATTAGGACAATTTTCCTTGTCTATTAAAAAAAAATTACTGAAAGGAAAAACATCACAGCACAAGGAAATTTTGCCTCATTCACTCAGATAAGTCTGTCTTCAAGGATATTGGTAATGGATTAAAAGGAGTCAATGGACCTTGCCCTGAAAGTTTTACTCAGTTCAATGAAGATTTTGAATGAGTAGGAAATTCAGGATTTGCCCAAATTCATGGGCTAATTTCTATTTCCAATTACACTAGCGGAAACTCTATTGTCTTCAATGGAGCTTATCCAGTGTTAATGAGAAGAGAATTTGACTTTATGTGCAAGAGACTGGGACAATCACAGTCTATGGCTTTTTTTAACGCCACAGTATATTCCAACATAATATATGTGTCATGCATGGAGACATGAACAATCTCCACCAAGGACACCACCATCCATCGTATGTATACATGTGTAGGCAAATCAAAAGCAGGTGAAAGAACAAACAGGAAATCAGTGCTACAAGTCCTCCCAATGGAACATTACCACAATCTTAAATCTTTGCACAGAGTACTGACATGACAGGAGAGCAGCACAGAACAGGTTTGTAAGTCTGATTTATCTTTTCTAGCTGAAGTTCCTTATAGTAAGTGTTATATATCATAGACCCAATTATGCAAGAGGCTGAGTCCCTCAAATCCCTCTGAATCTAGTGGAAATCAAGACCACCCAGCAATTTGCCCTGCCCATGCTAAAATTAATGCAAAAGGTATTAGAAAATTAAAGTTTGCCACTGTTTATGGCAATAGCCAGAGGGATAAGAAGCTCTTTCAGTGCTTGGGCCAGGGTGTAAAGTACTGCTCCTTGTGCCCCATTTCCTTCCCGCTCCCCCTACAGGGTGAAGGTTGCACCTCCCATGGCAAAGCCTGGGGGATAGGGGTGTCATTCAACCCCACGCCCACTCCAGATGTTGCATCTGCCTGGCTGTGCCTGCTCAGCTTTGTGCCTGCTGCAGGAAAGACTCCTGGGGGGAGTAGGCCAAGCTGGTGCCCCTCTAAGTTGGCAGTTGGGGCTGGTGCCCCTCTTGCCCCATCCTAGTGACACTGCTGGATGATAGCTATCCAAAAACACAGAAGATGATGAGACATGCCTCATCAGATGAACGACATTTTGACATGTCAAAGGAGGGCAACTCTTCTTTCTTCCTCATAATGCCCTTTGCCAAGTGTACCATGAAGTGAATGGGAGAAAGCTCCCCTCATGACACATACTGTGACGAAGAATTATATTTTATTTCCTTTCTTGTAGACAGTTCCTCCATAGCTCTGGTTCCAGTATTGACCCTTGTGAGGTTTTGCAGAGATGAATTCTATGCTTTGCCTGTATGCAGGAAGTCTGTTGCCTGTGCGCTTTGCCTGTTGCCAAGGGGTAGGGACCTTATGTGAGAGCCAGAAAACCAGAGTTTTCTTCTTGACATTCATTGTGTTGATTCAGGCAAGTTGTTTTATCACTCTCTGACTTCCCTCCTAGATTGGCAAGTTGTTTTATTGCTCTTTGACTTCC